GTATTATCAACATTATATGTTGTCTGTAAGGCATGTTTCATTTCTTAATTAACATAATAGAGCAAGCCCTTCTGAACAGAAGGAACAGCCGAATCAAAGGACCCAGCCTCTCTAACTGCAGTACAGCCATCTAAGATATACACTATCCAAGTGACCTTATTAACTCTCCCATACCTATTTCTCCAATGGCAGAACAAAGGAAATGGAATAGAAAATCACTATAAGTTGGACCACTCTTTCAAAATTCAAGCCAGCTAGAGTTGAACTGTCTAATTTCTAACTGTTTGCAGGAGTTCTTTACTGGTACCATTAAAATACTACACATACAAATCCAGTTTTCCTTAACCTGCTTCTCCAACAATGGCATTACTCAGCTAGAAAAAAACTCATGCTCAAGTAAGTGTAGCTAAATAATGAAGATATAAGAAAAACTACTGGAAAATTCCTTCTTAAAATCAAATGACTTGATGTGCAAATAAACCATTATAGAGTAACTCCAGTTAGTATGTGTCAATGCCGAGACACCAAAATCTAGAGAACACCCTCTTAAATTTATATATATGTATATATAAAATATTTTTTTCTCCGTCTCCCCTTAAATTTATAGTCTTAATTAAGAGGGCCCAATGACCTCCTTTCCACTGAAGCCTGTTTATTCCTATGTTCTCTCTTTTAACTTCTTTTTACACCACCATAGCAGCTTCTGCAACTATAACCTTTAATTCAGAGTCAGCCTTTAAATGCCACCATTACTGTCCTGCAATATTCTAAGGGGTCTAAGTTAGGTGTTGGCAAACCACAAGACCACTTTGCTGGTTGCCTACTTTGTAAATAAAGTTTACGGTAAAACATTTACTGGAACATAGCTACACCATCTTTGGACAATTCATATTACAATGGCAGGGTTGAGTAATTGCAACAGAGACCACAGGGCTGATCAAGTCTTATCTTCTGGACTTTTAAAGAAAGGTTGCTATCCTTTACCTAAAGAGCAACATTTAAGTGAGTTTAACCAAGGTTTCCGAGAGATTTTTCAAGGTTTTAGTTATTTCTAAATCAAAGTTTTAGAGAAATGATACTCCCATGGGTTTCATCACACTCCAACCTCATACTATTCTTAGAAGCACATAACGGTTTTTAAAGTACATTTTTGTGGGTTTAAGAATTTTGCTATATTGCAAAAAATAATCAGCAACAGAGGGGAAGTTCTAGGTACCTACATATGGAATTGAGAGATTATCCAGGTTATCAGTTGGCCTCTCTACTTTCTGGCTGGGAAAGATAAAGAACATACTTATTTCATTGCTTCTAAGATTTCTTAAAACTTTCAACTTCTTGATATTAAGATACATTTTATAATTTATGGCATTAGACAGTTATTATCAGCCAATTAGAAAGCATGACAAAGTAAGATGAAAATTTTCCACTAACACTTTGAGGTAAGATCAAGAAAATATTAGCATCCATGTTATCTTAGATTCCATGAATATAGTAAGTAAGAGGAAAAGAAAGAATGACAGGAGCAGGAACATTATTCTGAAGTAGAATAAAAACTGATGGATGTTCTGGAAACATCTTTGTTCTTTAAATGTAAGACTTATTTAAAAATGCACACGAAATTTGTTCTGCAGCAACTTGAATAGGGTAAAATAATAAGAAAAACAATACTTCTTTTAATCCATCTGACATGTCAGAAGAAAGCAAAAACAGCTCTTCAAATTCTACAGAACTTTATGGTCCAATTTCTCAAGTCTGTGAAACAGCAAAACAGTCTGAATAAAAAAACTTTAAGCTCGCTCTTTCGCAGCCACTGCCGAGAGAGATGGGCATCTCTCGGGACAACTGGCACAAGTGCCGCAAGACCGGGGGCAAGAGAAAGCCCTACCACAAGAAGCGGAAATATGAGCTGGGACGCCCTGCTGCCAACACTAAGATTGGCCTCCGCCGCATACACACAGTCCGAGTCCGGGGAGGCAATAAGAAGTACCGTGCCTTGAGGCTAGATGTGGGGAACTTCTCCTGGGGCTCTGAGTGTTGTACACGAAAAACAAGGATTATTGATGTTGTCTACAACACATCCAACAACGAACTGGTCCTCACCAAGACCCTGGTGAAGAACTGTATTGTGCTCATTGACAGCACACCGTACCGACAGTGGTACGAGTCCCACTATGCACTGCCCCTGGGCCGCAAGAAGGGGGCCAAGCTGACGCCCGAGGAGGAAGAGATTTTAAACAAAAAACGATCAAAGAAAATTCAGAAGAGATATGATGAAAGGAAAAAGAATGCCAAAATCAGCAGTCTTGTGGAGGAGCAATTCCAGCAGGGCAAGCTTCTTGCGTGCATCGCTTCAAGACCAGGCCAGTGTGGCCGAGCAGATGGCTACGTGCTAGAGGGCAAGGAGCTAGAGTTCTATCTGAGGAAAATCAAAGCCCGGAAAGGCAAATAAATCTTCCTCCTATCTTCGGTCATGTAATAAAGGTGTTTATTGTCCAAAAAAAAAAACAAAAAAAACCAAAAAAAACCTTTAAGCTCAGTTTTTGAAGTTGAGGGAATTCTTGATGTGATGCACTGAAGGAAACATTACTTCTGTACCATTCCTGACACAAAAAAGTAACCTAAATCGAATCATGAGGATACGTAAGACAAATCCAAATTGTTGGATACTAGACCAGAAAATTTTCAGTTTTGTCTTGTTTAAAAAGAACATTACTGGGACAACTGACAAAATCTTAGATAGGACTGCAGTTAGATGATAGTACTATAAAAATCCTAATATCCTGATTTTGATAATTATAATAGACAGTGAAGTAGATACTGGTAAAAAGCCATTGTGCAATCATTTCTATACTTTATTCTTCAATGATTTAGAACAAAAATAATTATGTCTGTATGTAAATGTGTACATACAAATATAAGCAAAGAAAGAATGATAAAGCAAATTAGAGATAAAACATTAACAACTGGGCAATCTGGGTGAAGTGTATATGGGAGTTCTTTGTACTATTATTATAACTTCTCTGTAAATTAAATATTACTTCAAAACAAGAAGTTAAAAAATGGATGCAAATTTGTTCAAATACATATGTTCAAATACAAAATATCAAAGAGTTAACCCATAGAGATTAGCTTATGTATTTTTAACTTTATTATGGCAAATTTCATCTTCCAGAATTACTATAAATTCCACATATAGTTCTATGAAGTATTTCAGTATAAAACTTTATAAAATAAGGATTCTTAAAAAAATAACCCCAATGCTACTATCATATCTTAAAAAATTAACATATGAGTTTATTCTTAAGTGAGAATACAGTGAAAATACCTGCCAAAATAAGTGGTTCAGTAATAGCTGCGTTACTTACCCAGTCAGATTCTAAAATAAGTTTTACTAAATGTTTCAAAGGACATTAGCATAAAAATATGTGAAATCTGTGGCATAACAAAGAGACAGCAATTACTGCTAAATCTATCCGTCTAGCTTAGAAAGAATTAATGACTATAGTAAAAAATGTTAGTATTTCCTGTTGCTCAAAACGTATTTTAGTATGTAATCCAGGTTCCTAAACCAAATCTGCTCCATAATACTGGAAAGAAAGTTTGAATGCTGTCAGTTTACTTTCAAAGAGCATCAAAATAGCAAGTGCCCACCAAATACACAGGTAAGTCTTTTCTTTTTAAAGGTTACCAGGAACTCAACAAAGAATCTGGCATGTAGAATCCTTAATTTTAAAGCAAAAAAAAAAAAAAAAAAAAGTATCCTCTTTTGTGGGCTAACTCAATTATTTTATGGCAACAAAATTTTTAAATTGTTAAACTGCTAGATCTCAGAAAATTCAGGGAAATGAAAGACCTTGAAGACTATGATTATAAAAAAAAGAAACTGAGAAAGGGACTTTTCATAGTTAAATATCAGTAACTGCTTCTCTAAGTCTCATTTGTCAATTAAATGTAAACAAGGAAATATTTCTAATAAAAATAGAAATAAAAGCTTTCAGAGTTAAGAATCCTAATAAAAACAGAAATAAAAGCTTTCAGAGTTAAGAATCCTATTCTCACAATCGGAAGAGATTTTATGAGTGCCCTTAATCACACACATCACTGAGAATGTAGCAATTAAGAGTGTTAAATTCAAAGTTACCTTCTGTAAAGGATGGCACAAAGATACACATAACAACTGTGAGATTATAAACTGATTAGTAAAACAGGTATTTACTTCTTTAAAGTCAGATTTAGCACCATTTGGGTTAAAAAAAAACCAAAAAACCTTAAAATATACTTAACATAAAGATTTCTTCTATTTCTTTTCTACTGCCTAAAATTGTAGCATTAGCTCAAACTGATTCTAATATAAAATTGCTTAAAAAAAAAACAACCACTGGAAATATCTAACAAAGAATGTAAAAAATCTAAGGAGATATTATGAGATTAAACACAAAACATATAAAACAACTGTAGTTTATTTAATTCAATAGTAACTCATAACAAGGATCAAATTAACAGAAATCAAAATCTTCTTTACGATGGAACATGATTATATTTATTTTCTATTTAACACTAAAACATATTTGATATAAGAAAGAGTACTTTAAATTGTAGCTATTTGTTCATTTTGTTCTTAAAAGAGTTTAAGGGGAAAGTTTAAGTATTTCTGTGGTGGGAAAACACGGTGGTCTCATTATTAAACATTTATTCACATGGAAAAAAAGACACATTTGAACAAGTGAAGGCACCCTGTTAGTTATACTAGAAGTGCCTTTAGCACTTGAACTTTTTTGAAGAACTTGATTCTATTATAACCTATTTATCTCAACTTGAGTTTGAATACAGTTTTTTACAATAAACAAATCAAATGCCACATATTCTGGGGTTGCTGAAGTCGCAGTTGATCAGAAATCTATTCTGCCTCATTAAAGATTTAGATTGTAGTTATACTTTTTTTCTCAACAGTATGCAAACATTACAGGTCATTCACATAGAATCAGAGAATTATTACTTACATCATCACTCTGCTGGGCTTCTTGCATTACAAATTCTCGGACCATGGATGGACTAAACTCTACTAGATAAGAAAATATATCTGTAGCTGCTGATCTGACTTGCAAATCATCCATGCCCTGGTAAAAGGAAAGTTAGGTTAGAGACTGTAAACAAAAATTACGCCATGTTCCCTATCTTTCCCAAATCTATGCACATTAACGTTTTGGATTCAGACATTGTACTGGAATCTTTTCTTCCTTTTCTTGTATAAATATTAAAAGCTTTTAAGCAGCTCAATGATTAGTTTCTGCCAGTTTTCACCATCACAAAGATAAATACTCAGAGAATTTAGATGTAAGGATCAGCATAGGATTATACTATTACACTTTACAAATGCTGTAAAAAATTTTTTTTTTATTTATATATATGCAAAATGTGAATGATGTTACCTAGTTAAGACTTCAAAATTTTCCAGAATCTGTCTTTGGTCCTGGATTTGCCAGTTACTCCTTAGTAACTGATTCTCTCTTTTATGACTCTCCTAAGAGAGGATGCTTTTGAAAAGCACTCTGGGTATTTTCACTCTTTGTCCACATCTTAGTTTTCTAAGGGAGTGATCCTGAATGCTTTTCCCTCTTTAATAGATAAAGGATACATGACTTGTAAGTTACAAAATCTCCAAGTGATTCTGAAAACATTCCTTAACTCAGCATTCTCAAAGTGTGGTCCAGGGAATTTTGATGAGGTGTTCAACACCCTTTTCAGGAAGTGCATGAGATTAAAACTATTTTCATAGCAATAAACAGTACTAGGGCATTAATGGCCCTTTTCACTCTGAGGATATCACAAGTATAGTGAGACATGTGGTATCACAACAAAGCAAATGCAGAAGTTGCTATGAGAATCTAGCTGTCATCTCCTACACCAAATGTTAAAGGGATGGGCAAAAAAAGGTGAAACAATGCCATTCTTCACTAAAATTTTTTTTGTTTTCGGCAAATTATTTTTTCATAGAAGTTATATTATTTGTAACAAATATTTGATCATCTTAAAATGAACTGATAAATATTTAAAATTTTTCAGTTTTAATTTTCATACAATACCAATGGATAAAAATATAAACAAATGTATGCGGAACCACTGCCCTAAACCACATTGCAGCATGAGCTGCCTTGGTCCAGTCTGTCCTCACTCTACTCACTGGTCTAAAAAAGAAAGATATTTTAATTGTTTCTATGAAACATAATATTGTTACAGAAGAAATAATAGTCTTGAAAAAGCATGTGGGATTTTTATTCACTTGAAGCCATATTATATGCAAGTGCTTACATATTAATAACATAAACTTAAATAATAAAAACCCAAAGACTGAACACACACTTGTAGTAATTCACTATCAAGTGAATCATAACCTAATATATATAATTCAATATGCATTATTATAACAAATACTTTCACATACATAATATAGAACTACTACAAATTCACAACTTCAAAAACATGAAGTGAAGCTATATAATTACCATTACAATTTCAAGAGCAGGAAGAATTCCCAACTTTGCCAAAGTTTTGAAAAATGCATCCCTGTTTTGAGGTTGTAATGTCTGAGAAAATGCACAAAATTCCTTGAAAAAGTTAACCTGGAATATTAGAAAACATAGTAAGAAGTTGACACACGTAAGAGCAAACTTGGCACACTTTAATGTGATGTACCACAGTGTAATGTGCCCTTCTCAAGGACCTTGGGGCGCCTGGGTGGCTCAGTTGGTTAAGCGACTGCCTTCGGCTCAGGTCATGATCCTGGAGTCCCTGGATCGAGTCCCGCATCGGGCTCCCTGCTCGGCAGGGAGTCTGCTTCTCCCTCTGGCCCTCCCCCCTCTTCCCTCTGACCCTCCCCCCTCTCATGTGCTCTCTCTCATTCTCTCTCTCAAATAAATAAATAAAATCTTAAAAAAAAAAAAAAGGACCTTCATTTTTTAGGGTGTCCTGGCTCCTTAAAACCTATATTAAAATAACATATTAAAAACTAGCATCCCACTAAAAGTAAACTTTGCATTACTTCTTAGCAATGAACAATGAACTCCCCAAAGACATTATAGTGTACATGTTATATGTGGAGTCCCAGTGGGTGAATACACATACAATATTAACTTACGGTTTAGTTGCAAAAATGTCATGTAAGGCATGTATCCTGAATTAGAGCATGTATTTTCACAGAAACATGCTGTATAACAAATGGTGGCTGGGTTCTCAGGGGGCTCTCAAAAGTACAATTCCATTTTTAAGAATTGGAAAGGACATTAGACATTCCCGAGTTTAAAGAACTAATTTTTTAAAAGAGAAAACTGAGCAGGCGATCAACTATACCAAGATGACTTGGCTGACTTTAAGTTGGCAATCTTGCATTTTTTTTTTTATTATGTTATGTTAATCACCATACATTACATCATTAGTTTTTGATGTAGTGTTCCATGATTCATTGTTTGCGTATAACACCCAGTGCTCCACTTGCATTTCTTTTTAAAACCCAAGCACCTGATTATGTTTAAAAAAATAATGACAAACTGCTAGTAAATAGCAATCACTATTTTTTTCCACCAAAGCATAGCTTATACCTCATAAAATATACACATATTCAAAAGAAAAAAACATTTCCAAGAACCAAATTACTTATCATGCATTTATTCAAGCACTGTCCTTACCTTTTTTCCTTAAAAAAAAAAAAAAAAAAAAAAGAGCTGTTCTATACAGCCTTAAAAATGTATGAGTTTGTAGTTCTGTCCATACATAAACTCCATACCTAATTTTGGGATTTTTGAGACACAAAAGTCCCCTCATCAAAATAATTTAAGAAATTTGTAAATATACAACACAGTAAGTTTGAGAAACTTTGAGAATAATTATATTGTATAAATAAGTATCTTTCATCTCATATTTATAAAAAAATTCTCTCTTAACAAATTCAGTATTGAAAGCTGTATATGCCAACAGTAAGTGCTCTTTAGAGGTTCGAATTTCAGGAATAAATAACTTACCAATTCACGCCGTTTATCATCATCTGTAGCCTCATCTGTTAACTGTGCAAAAACTTCAGACAAAAACTTCTCATCTTCCTACATGAGAAGAAATAATTACTATGAAACAGTCTAACAATAGTATAAAGTTACACTCATTTGTATGATCTACACAAATTATAATAAAAATAGCTGAAAACCCAATAGTTTCATCATGAAACCTAAAATTCCAGGGTATATTCGTGTTATAAGTTTCAAACCCTGACTACACCATTTAATATTAGTTACACGTTACATTAATACCTCATTTGACCAGAAACTTCAGCTATAAAGAACTCTTTGGAAAACAAAAAAACCCAGTTATGTTCTAGAAGTCATATATGAAAACTCAGGTATTTTAACTCTGCAGTTAAAGGCTGTGCAGCTCCCTCTCAGGGTCTATTCATTTACTTTTTTTTTAAGATTTTATGTATTTATTTATTTATTTATTTGAGAGAGAGACAGCATGCACAAGCTGAGGAAGAGGCAGAGGGAGGGAGAAGCAGACTCCTCGCTGAGCAGGGAGCCGGATGAGGGGCTCCATTCCAGACCCCTGGGATCATGCCTTCTGGGATCATGACCTGAGCTGAAGGCAGACGCTTCACTGACTGAGCCACCCAGGAGCCCCTATTTATTTACTTTTAATTTAAATGTAATTCAAACAAGTTTGAAGATCTCATTGTCAATCCGCCGCAGATTAGAAAAATGAGAAATTACAAATATGGCACAGGAAGAGCAGTAAAGTAGAGACTGAATTCTGGCAGTGGTAAGACTGCAAAGCCTTTTAAAACACAAAAACTCATGGAATATAATTATCTAGGGCCATTTGGGTTACAGGCTTACATTTTCTTATGGTTCCCAAGGATAAAACTAAATGATAAACACTACAATAACTGCTTTTCACACACTGATGATTCTGAGGTATTAAAGGGCAGGTATGTGTTAGTTTATCTACGTACTATTTACAAGGACAAACAAAAAATATAGTAGAGTACGTACTATATAGTCTTATTTTTAATATAAATTTATGTCTAAAATCTAAAAGGGGTAAACATTAAAGTGTTAATTGTGATTATCTTTTGGTGATGGATTATGAGTGCTTTTTTGCTTATATTTTCCAATTTTCCATAATAAGTATGGACTATTAAATTACAAAGGAAAAAACTGACATAAATTCTGAAATTCACTTTGGAAATTTCCATCAAAACCTGCTAAAAAACCTATCCTTTTAAATTTCACTTATTTTTAAAATTCACTTTTATGAAATACAACTTGCATTAATTTTATTTAAGGTAGCATGTTCTAAGAATGTTTGTAATAGTGATACCTTCATGGTTGACAATAAAATCAAATCACGACATGTTAAGGATATACCTTAAATACCTGCCCTTTTACTTAAGGTGGATCATCTGTGAAGTGGTATCAATCCCTTAAATAAGTTTTTCTAAAATAAGATAAAATGTATATATAAAAAATCTAAGTAAAAACCACTAGATATGATTATGGACGATGTAACATACTCTTCCACTAACCATTCATCAGTGTTACTCAAAGAATACTGAAAGCCACTCCCGTTCATTAGTCTGACTCAGAATGGTGTTTCTTTTTGTTCTTTATTTTGTTGACTTCTTATGGACCTTATACACCGTGGCCTGAACCATCTGTTTCTGAGAGAATTCAACAGCATTATACTTACTTCTCAAATCACTTTTTCTAAATACTTTTCCTCTCAATATTTTAGGTTCTGGTGAGTAACTATGCACTTACACCTTTTATAAATTTTTTTCTTCTTCCATCTCTCCCAGATTAAATCTTCCTTTCTTAAGATTTTTTAACTTTTTTGAGAATACTTTCAGAGGAAAATAGTTTCAATTCTTTGATAAATACAATTTCTTCCATGATTCATTATTTGTGTGCTGACAGCTAGAACTGCTTAATGTATTATGGAGGCAATTTCAAGTATATTATAGCCTGCTAGGAGAATATTTTCTAATTCCTATCATGTATATTTTTTCTGATTTCTTTATTCTTGATAATAATCTAAAAAAGCACTCTATTCCAATGTACATTAAAAAGCAATTAATTGGGGCACCTGGGTGGCTCAGTCAGTGAAGCATCTGCCTTTGGCTCAGACTGTGGCTTGAGATTGAGCCCTGCGTCAGGCTCCCTGCTCAGCGGGGAGTCTGCTTCTCCCTCTCTCTCAGCTCTCTGCCACCAACCTCCCCCTTCCCCCCGCTTGTGAGCTCTAGAGCTCTCTCTCTCTCAAATAAGTGAAATCTTTAAAAAAAAACAAAAACAATTAATTGACAGCCTAAAGTCCATTATAAATATAGTTGTAATGTTTCCCCCTACATACCTGGTTCTCCCAGTAGTCTCTTTAGATAACTTTAGTTTTTCTTTTTTATTTAGTTTAAACGCCTTTGTTTTTAATAAAACATACTTTTAAGACAAATTGTGTGTGGCTGCTTTTTTGAATTACACAGCAATTCTTTATTGGGGGGGAAAAAGGGAGCCACTTTTAAAAAGCCTGAATCAAACTTTTCTTTGCAGTAATGTAAAAACAAGCACATGCTCAAAATCCAAAAACCCAAGGGTGCCTGGCTTGCTCAGTCAGCAGAGCATGCGACTCTTGATCTCAGAGTTGTGAGTTCGAGACCCACACTGGATGCAGAGTTTACTTTAAAAACAACAAACCCAAACCCAGAACCCATTCACCATTATTCATGTAAATGCAGAAATTTAGAATTACATCAGGCTTTAAGAGATTACATAGATTGCCTAGTCCAATTTTAAATTCCAAGAGACTGATGCCCAAAGAGTGGACTTATATGAGGCTGGCTATAACAGAGACGGATTTAGAATCCAAGTCTCCCACATGATGAGATTTTTGTAACTCCCACAATATATAATAAACTATAGGACAGATTCCTAAGTAGTTCATAGTTATGAAACAAACCAAAGTAAAACATACATAGAAAGTAGAATAGGCCAAATCTAGTAAGACAAAATTTAGTATGCATGAGTCCAAAAACCTTTAAAACAAAATGGAGAACTATATTATTGTAAGAACTGTATGACTGTAAGTTGTTTTCTTAAAGGCATGGAAAGATTTTATATATTTACTTAGTAACTGGGATGAAAGGTTAGAAATTTTTTTTAGTGCTGAAATCCACAAAATATGTCAAAAAAGAACTAAACTACTGGTATTACTGGGTTTGTTTTTGGCTCAATTCTCATTTATGGGATAGTGGAAATATATGTGTTAAAATGTCAACATTTGCGATATCTGTCCTCCACCATTTCTAGTGAAGGAAGAAGTTAAAACTTCTTGTTCTGAAAAGGATCTTATCGGTAGCTGTCTGTGTGAAAATAACCTCATTTTATTGGCTTTAAGGAATTTAATTTTTAAAACATTTTAAAGTATATTTCTCAATTCTGGGCACATGAGATTTTGATCTGCAATTAGAAAGTTCAGGTTAACTAAACTCTTATGCCCCAATCAAGCTTAAGAGAATCTCAACATGTACTAGAGTACATACCAGGAGCCAGTGACCACAGTAAGTGCTTTCATATAATTTCTGTTAATTAACCTAATTCAGGCTAGGAGTTCTTTTATGTATCTTTGCACTAACTCATTTTGGTTCCGATAAATAGAATTCTTACATTTTCACTTGCTTATGTAACTCATACAACAACAAAAACAATACTCATTTAAGAAACTACAGATATCAGGATGCCTGGGTGGCTCAGTCAGTTAGGTGTCTGACTCTTAGTTTTGGCTAGGGTTGTGAGATGGAGCCCCATGTCCAGCTCCGCCCTCAGCACGGAGTCTGCTGGAGATTCTTTCCTCCTCCCCTTCCCTCTACTCCTCTCCCAACTCATGCGTGCACACCCACACTTGCTTGCTCTTTCTCAAATAAATAAATAAACAAATAAAGCTACAGATAGGTATCCTAGCTAGAAGGATATCTGGAAACATCTAATACCTAGCCAAAAACTTTGTACATGGAAACCTCAGAGTTGGGCTTTAGGAAATGAGCTTTTAGAGGCCAATCACCATAATCCTAATTTCTTTCTTCTCACATACTGTTGAGAACAGAAAACAGAATTCAGCATCACTGCTGACACATAAGAGATAACTAAGTGGTAAACCCTGGATAAACAACAGGTAATTCACAGTATCTATTTCATAAATGCATCTAATGGACCAGAAATGAGTAAGACTTTCTTTTCTTAAAGCTACACTTGATTTATATAATTGTAGCCTTTATAAATAGATCTTTGACACAATATATAAAATGACAAAGTGTTATAAATATTTATTTATAGTTTGCATAATTTTATTTATTTATATTTTTAAAAATTCTTATTTGTTTATTTGACACAGAGAGAGAGAGAGAGAGACAGCGAGAGAGGGAAAACAAGCAGGGGGAGTGGGAGAGGGAGAAGCAGGCTCCTGGCTGAGCAGGGAGCCCAATGCGGGGCTCGATCCCAGGACCCTGTGATCATGACCTGAGCCGAAGGCAGACGCTTAACGACTGAGCCACCCAGGTGCCCCTGCATAATTTATTTTTTAAAATATAAAAAAGCATTTATAATTCAGTATTATGGATTTGGAAAACCTTCTGAAGTCAAAAGCAGTCATTTGAAAGCTTCTGCACTTGAGTTTCTGTTAATGGGTGCTTTACATCAGCTACACTGACTGTGAGTCTACTTCCAAACTCTTTAACTGTAACTGTTTTTCTGTTAGCAAGTCAAATGGCACCCTGAATTGTACAGCAAGTATGGTTTTAAAAAAGCAGGTCCCATATATTATAAATGGAACCTCGTTCATAAGTCTAATTTTCCCTTATACCTGTTATTGTGGAATAAGGAAAAACTGTGAGGTGAAAGAATGAACTAGAGAAGTAAATCCTGTACAAAAAAATACAGTAACAAGGGAAAGGTGAATGATGGTTGGAAGCATCATGAAGTAGAATCTCATAGCTAAGTACTAAGACAGAGATTCTCAACATTTTGGTCTCAGGACCACTTTAAACTCTTAAAAATGATGGAGGTCTCCAAAGAGCTTTTATTATGTGGATTATGTTTATCAATATTTATAATCAAAACTGAGACATTTAGAAACAGTTATTAATTTGCTTTAGAAATAAGCTATTATAAGTTTATGTAAATATTTTATATGAGAATATTTAATAAATTTAGAAAAAATTTTATAAATTTAGAAAAAAAGTGGCTGTTTTACATTTTTGTAAATCTATAATGTTTGGCTTAATAGAAGAAAGCTATATTCTCATATCTTCTTTGACATCCAATCTGTTGTGATATGTTTTGGTTGAAGTATATGAAGAAAATACCGCCTCACAGTAACAAGAAGTTGGAAAAAGAAAAACTTCACAGACCTCTCTGAAAGGGTTTCAGGAGCTCTGAGAACATACTTGAGAACCACTACACTATGTATACAGAAGCTGCTCAAAAAATTTAATGAGTGATATGGACATAACAAAGGCAGTTATGTAGGAAATTGTGGGTATCGTATACTACCACAAGTAAAGCAAAATCTTCAAAATCATCCTTACTACACTGTTTGGGTATAAAGGATTAACATGATAAACACAGTATAAATTCCTATCTTACAACTCAAGGAGACATAATTTAATTATCTTTTCCTGAAGCTTAGTGTTTCTCAGTACTGGCTGCACATTTGAATTATTCGGGAAGCTTTAAGCGCGCGCGCACACACACACACACACGCACCCCTAATAATAACTAGGTCTCACAAAATGGACTAAAAGATAGTTTTAAAATAGCTGTTTTTGTTCAGGATGATGAAAAAGTTCTGGAAATGGACAGTGGTGATGGCTGCATAACACTGTGAATGTACTTAATGCTACGAATTATATACTTAAAAATGGTTAAAATGATCAATTTTATGTCATATATATTTTGTAATTTTTAAAATATATGCAAAAATGAAGTTTAAATAAAAAAGCTCCATCACAGAACACTTAAAAATGTAAAAGGTCACATTAAGAAATGATTCTCCTTCAAAAACCCATGAGATGAAGTCCTGTTTTCTATGCTTGACAGTATATTTAAAGTAAACAAAAGAAATCTTCAAAAAGGAATGAATACCAGCTCAAACTATTAAGGGAAGTAAGTATCTGAAAAAAATAAAGGAACACCTTTGCTTACTCACCTGCAACATGCTGACTATCTCAACTTTGTTGAAGAAAATAAAAGACGTAAGAGTAGAAAGAAAATTCTCTTCAAAAACGGATGGCGTAGGCAAAATGATGTCCTGAATGTACTGTACCCTGTAAGTCTGATGTATTTTTTGCCTTAGTTCAGAGTCTGTTATTGGTATAACTTCCTTAAACTTTGCAGTTTTGGTCAAGAATTCTCTATGCCTTTTTGGCTGAGCCAAAGCAGGGTCATATTCAAGGCATCCCACAACATCCATGATACACTCATCAGAAAACATTACTTCAAACAGAGTTGCCTTATTTAGGAATAAGATTCCTCTAATAATTTCATACAAATGGTGTAAGCCTTCAGTGTTTTCTAGATTCTCACAAGCTTGGAACAGCTGCAGTAGTTTTTTAATATAGCCTTCATTTTCCAAGGCCAGAGCCAGCTTTTCCCTACGGATAGGTGAGGAGAGAACTGAGGTAACTAAGTCAGCAATCTCTTCAAGTTTACTGAGTTCACATGTGGGCAGGTCAATCAGATGACTGGTTTCAGGCATTTCTTCAAATCGTTCTTCTTCTGATTCATCAATGAGGTCCTGTGTGACTTCCACTGATGGATCCTTACCTTGAACCTAAAAACATCCAAGTATAGCTGGTTACCTTAAAATACAAAAGAATTCAAAATTTTGGAAATCAAATCACTGACGGCTGAATTTAAGTAAAAATACCTTGCAGAGAAACAATATTAGCCACACAGCCATTGTTAATTAGAAGTGAAGTCTAGAGGGGGAAAACATACCCAGTTTAGAGTCAATTACTTGAGTCTCAATTTCACCTCTAAATTTCCCAACTTATAACTTGAGTTTAACTCTGATCCCTGACAATGTGCACATTTAAGCTAATGTTACACTGATTTATGTGATGTTATGTAATAACCACGTGCAGCTGTTTAGTAACTTCACTATTCCAACTAATTTTGAATTTTTCAGGTTAACTCTTCTGTGGGTCCCCCAAATTACTACGTATGACTCTTAATGCACCATCACACTGGCCTGACAAAAACACTACTGTTTATTATTTTTATATATGTATAATATATATGTTATATATACATACATTATATATGAGTATATTTATATTATATATATGTGTGTGTGTGTGTATATTTTAGAGAGGGTGGGGAAAGAGAGACAGAATATCTTAAGCAGGCTCCACGCCCAGCCTGGAGCCTCATGCAGGGCTGGATCTCACAAACCTGAGATCATGACCTGAGCTGAAATCAAGAGTCAGATGCTTAACCAACTAGCCACCCAGGCACCCCAAACACCACTAAGTTTAAACCAAACTAAAACCCAACTCTTTGTATATTCAAGAGTGAGAAGATTTCCTCAAATTACTTTTGAAATTCACTTTTGGACAAATAGCTGCTTTTGTTATGAGCCTAAAACTGCTCTAAAAAACAAAGAATATTCTTGGGGCGCCTGGGTGGCTCTGTCGGTTAAGTGTCTGCCTTCGGCTCAGGTCATGATCCTAGAGTTCCAGGACTGAGCCCTGCATCAGGCTCCCTCTGACCCTCACACCCCGCTCTTGTGCTCTCTCTCTCAAATGAAATTTAAAAAAAAAAATAAGAAAAAAACAAAGAATATTCTTTTAAAAACTGGCATTCATTTAACATCTGTGATAAAGCCTCCAACTTAAAATATCTAGAAAACATAATGAATAAAAACTGTTTTATAATTCATGTTGACAGCTCAAGAAAAGCATGGCTACCGTATAACAAGTTTTCTATAAATGATTTCTATAATAACATAAAAACTTTATTCTTTATAAATTTTTTCTAATTCCTAACACAAGAGTGCAAGTATCATCTTTTCACCTCAAAATATCCAAATATCCTGAGATGAAAAAGCTCCAGAAATTTCCAAATCCACCAAAACAACATGAAAAAAGACTTAAGAGCTTAGAGAAAGTAGACAGATATACTGGTGCATATAAGGTAATTTTTCTCCTAGAGTACTTTTACTTCTGAGTCCTCAACAGAGTAGTTGGGTTTAGGGAGACTGACACATAAATATAAAAGGGTGAGTAACAAGGTCATAAGAGCAGTTCAGATAAAATACTATGGAAATTCAGATGAAGGGAAATTCCTTCCAGCTCTTGGGGGTACAGGGGGTGGTGAGGAGAGACTATAAGGAAGAAATCATAAAAGCAGTGGCATTTGAGATCTTCAAAGTGGCATTTGGACTTTCAAAGATGGGTAAGATTCAGATGCGGCTAAAGGCATGCAAAGTGCAAAGGGAATAGTAGAGGCAGAGAGATGGAAATGTGTGACACGCATACAGCTAACAGCAACACAACTGGAAATGTAGATTAAAGCCAGATTATGGAAAGTCAAGCTAGAACACTTGAGTTATTGTTTAGGGAAGTGAATGTACAGCATTATCCTTTAGAAAGTCAACCTGGCATCAGTTGTATGGGATAAATTTGAGAATATAGGTAAATTAGGGTGTTATTCCAAAGTCTACATGAACAACTGAATTTGGATAGTGATGGTGGGACAGATAAGGGACAGGTACAAAAGAGAGGAGGAACCACAAATGACCCTGTAGTTTTAAAGATTATGGCTCCTTTAATAAAAACTAAGAGTGTGGGAGAGGAATGGTTAGTAAAAGTTCAGTTCTATTAAGTTTGAGGTGTCTGAATACCTAGCTGGCAACTAAATCTGTGGACCTACTACTCAGGAAAAAGAGTAGGACAGAAGGTAGAAATTTGGTATTAGGGTAACACTTAAAAGGGTTATAGGGTCACTTATAGGGTCATTTGTGGTTGTGTAAGTTCACAAAAATTTACACTATCAGTAGGGTTCTCAACAAAAATTTCTTTTCCACCCTTCTAGCTTACTTCCTTTACAGCGTTACTTTAACTTTTTCCCCCTTTTAAGTGTCAAACACTATTACTTTCCCCTTTAAATCTCAGGAGAGAGAACCTTTCCTTTGAAAAAAGAGACCACTGGTATTCAACATATTCCAATATCCAACACCCTTCTCCATCTCACAACTTATTTTCACTCATTTCCATCATCTCTTTCAGAGAGAATGTCTCTACCCTCCCATTTTCTGAGGTTAATGCTTCCATACGTACTTTTGACTTTATGCTTTCTAAAAGCTATATATACAGAAATTATCTTAGCTCTTTTTATAACTTATTCCTCTTCCATACATAAAAGAATCGGACTGAAGCCAAAAAATTTATAGGGACCTTAAATAGGGGCCCCACATCTTTGGTGCATTAAGCACTAATGATGGCCAAGGTGCATATCAGCAGAATTATATCCTGGACTCTAGGGAAACAGTTCAGAGAGATGTAGGTAGAGCTGCATGACTGGTTGCACCTTAGTGTGGCCTTCTGGGGCTTTCCCACATGCCATGCCCGATCTTCTCCCTCCTTCCCTGTCACGGCTGCCCTTCACCCATTTGCGATACACAGGCATACATCTCCCCTGTTCTAAATCTTACAGTGGTGCCTTGCCCTGCCAAAGGGACAATTCAAAATATGGTATCAATATTGAGAAAGTGAAGGACTCTAATGACTAAGTAATAAATCTTTATCTAAGATAAAAAATTATTCACTATTATTCACCATTCTCCTTAAGAAATTTATTGTTCTCTGAGCTGTTACACTTTTCAGGGTTTTACTTTCTCAATATAAGGAGTTAAGAAGTGACTGAGTAATATGGTTTTTGTTGAAATTAAAATTTTTTCAAAGGTCAGCAAGGGCTTCTCAGAAATGGAAAGTAAGACAACGTATGGTTCTGTGGAATACCAGGCAGTTGTGAGGAGCGATAAACTAAATCTATATTCAGCAACATGCATAGATTTAAAAAGTACAGTACACGGGGCACCTGGGTGGCTCAGTAGGTTAAGCATCTGCCTTCGGCTCAGGTCATGATCTCAGGGTCCTGGGATCGAGCCCCATGTTAGGCTCCCTGCTCAGCAGGGGGTCTGCTTCTCCCTTTCCCTCCATCCTGCTCATGCTCTCTCGCTCTTTAAAATTAATAAAATCTTTAAAAAAAAAAGTACGGTACTCAGTTGTTTAGTAAAAAATTAAACTTCCTGGACCAGCAGAGTGGCCAAATCTAGCACCCGTTCCAAAGGTGGAAAGCGTGAGTAAAAATCATTGACGAATGGGAAGAAATAGTAACCAAGGGCAAAGGAATGAAAAATGGGTAAAGTTACAAGAGAAATCCAATATTAACACTAGTGCCTCAAGAAAGGATTGGAGCAAGAGATGATATTCTCTTAGCTCAATTGTATCAGGTGCCTAAGGGTAAAAGCCATATGTTTGCCAAGATCACCTATTCTTGGGACTTGACAAGGTTGAATGGAGGCCTGTAAATAAACCTGATGAACTGAAACAATTGTTAATAACTGTTAATGATTCTAGTAATGTGCCAGACTCCTACTTTTCAGGTTTCATCATACTACCATACTAGCATTGTTGCTCCAACTACCTTAGGTACATAAGCGTCATAATATTAATATAATATTAATGCTGGGAAACGGAGTTAAAACCTCCTCAACATCAATGCTCAAAGAAAATGCCTGGCAGGAGGAAGAAATGGATTTTGTTAACTGTCAGTTAACTTCTTTGCTAAACACCTCTGTACAAGTTTATCATAAGGTACAAACTGCAACAGATCAAGGAGAAAAATCAGTAATCAGTACAAAATATAAAAAGTAAATCATGGCTTTATCAGACATTGTTTCTTTAAATATATCCCTACCCCAGAATGGCTCCTTCAAATATCAGGCATATTCATATTGATATCTGTTCTGTCATATAAATGCTATACTAAATATAGATGCTCAGACAAATATAATCATTTTGCTGTGAGAGTCTTGGCAATGGGTCAATGGGTGGCCTTTGCAGTCAAGGATTAGTCTTGCCTCGAGAAAGATTTGGCCTTTGCCTAGCTCTTGAGAGGTAACCTCTAAGCACTTTTAATATCCTGTCTGATATGAGTGTTTTCTGTTTACCTGGGAGCCTTGGGCTATGCCAGACATTCTTTGTGTGGGTAACTAGGTGGTTTATAGTGGAGGTCTTAGGCCACATAGTATCAGCTCAACCTGTGGAGGTGCTGGAAACTAAAGTCAGCCGCAGGGCAGTCAGCCTGCTTATAGAACTAACACCCAATGAAAATACTGGACACAAAGGTTGGGGTAAGCTTCTTTGGTCAGCAATACTATGTGCAGGTTGCCACACAACATTGCTGGAATTAGTGCTGTCTGCGTAAGTATCCTGAGAAAGAAAACTGGAAGCTCGTGCCTGGAACTCTCCTAGACTTTGACCTATGTGCCTTTTTCCACTAGTAATTTTAATCTGTATTATTTCATTGTAATAAACTGTAACAATGAATGTAACAGCTTTGTGGAGTTTTGTGAGTCTTTCTAGTGAATTAGTGGACCTGACAGTGGTTGTGGGAACTCCTGAACTGCATGAGTGAAAACAGTAAACAAATTTCAGCAAAACTTTCCAGGACAAATGCACCAAGTCTTCAAGAATATATGTATATCCAGGAACTAATATTAAACAGTACATGTTGATGTGTGGGAAGGGAGTAGGCATAATGTAATATGCCGATCACTGGAAAATATTATCCACCATATAAATATATGTTCTAGGAGAAATGTAGTCCAACATCCTAGTAAGACGTTTATCTTCTGTCTTATTCATTCATTCTTTAAATATGTACTGTGTACACACACAACATGTGCCAGTTGCCATGCTGGTATATTAGAGGAGGGAGAATACAAAATAAAACATCACTTTTCAGGAACTTATAATAAAAAAGGTTAATCTTTATATACTATTAATATTCTGAACAGCTTTTAAACCCACATTATAGAAAAGTAATCTTTCCCTCTTTTATTTTTAAAGTTTTATATCTTTCGGTATGCTTTCATTATTTTCATGGACCAGTTTTTTCCCCTCATTTTGTAGGTGAACCCATGCATGATTCTGAATCAAGAACAGAGCAGCAAATATTTGTGAACTGCATGTGTCTGAATCTGCAATAGAGGTCATTTTTAAGTCTTACATCTCACTTTATAGAAAACTTTGCAAACATAAAATTCAATCTCGATCCCTGGAGAGCACACAAGGGGGAAAAAAGGGTATTAGGACCTTCCCATCATCACCACCCATAGGTTTAAAGACAGGCAAAACACAAAGGCAAAATAATAACAAAACAGTTTGGATTACATTCTTAGGTGTATTTTACAAATTAAAGCAAAATCATATTTACCAGTGTTTTCACCTGTTCATCAATGGAAATTCTTCTATTTAATAGTGTATACTAATAATGCTCCATTAATACCTGATACATACATAGTAAGATATGAGGTGGAAAGAAACAAACCATCTACTTCCAGTTCAGATTTGTGACCTAGAGCCAGCTGTTAAATAAGCTTTATATAGAATGAGAAGGTTCATACTTTCTTGCACTGTGTGGCACTGTTACTGGGAGGACTACAGAAAAAAATTACTGTGGTCAGATGCATTAAAACTAACTCAAGAACCTTCAGTGATCAGAATCACTATAAAGAAAAGCTGATAGAAGTGAAAATGACAATAGTAAAAAAATTAGAACAGAATATTACACTAGGCAACTGCTGAAACTGATTCCATTTACAGAAAATAATAGTTAAAATGTTACAATTAATTTAAAATTCCAGTTACCAGCTGTCACAGACTATATTTGCCTAAGGAGACATAACTACTAAATGTAATATGGTATACTGAATGGAATCCTGGAACAGAAAAAGGACACTATGTTTTAAACTGAGGAACTCTGTGGCTCAACCGGTGGCTCAATTGGTTAAAGCAACTGACTCTTGATTTCAGTTCAGGTCATGATCTCAGGGTCATGACCTCAGGGTTTTAAGATCAAGCCCCGAGTTAGGCTCTGTGCTGGGCATGGAGCCTGCTTAAGATTCTCTCTCTCCCTCTGCCCCTGCTACACTCAAATGCACGCTCGCTCTCTCTCTAAAAAAATAAATAAGTAAAATAAAATAAACTGAGGAAATCTGAATAAAATATAACCTTTAGCTAATAATGTATGAATAATAATAATGAATAGTAATAATAACGTATGAATATTAGCTCTTCAATTATGACCAGTATATCCTACTAATTTAAGAAACCATTAACAGGAGAAACTGGAGGAGAAGGTGTTACGGAGGGAAGTGCACAGGAACTCTCTCTGTATTTTCTGCTCATATTTTCTATAAATCTGAACTTCTAAAATAAAAACTTTTCAAGATTTATTTGAGAGAGAGAGAGAGAGCACGCGTGTGTGCACGAGTGTGCGAAAGAACATGGGGTGGGGGCAGAGGGAGAGGGAGAGGGAGAAGCAGGCTCCTCGCTGAGCAGGGAGCCCGAAGCGGGGCTCGATCCTAAGACCCGGGGATCGTGACCTGAGCCGAAAGCAGATGCTTAACTAAATGTATCACCCAGGCGCCCCTAAAATAAAAACTTTATTAAAAAAGTACCAGGGAAGCCTGGGTGGCACAGTGGGTTGAGCATCTGACTCTTGGTTTTAGCTTAGGTCGTGATCTTGGGGTCGTGGGATTAAGTCCAACGTTGGGCTCCATGTGGAGTCTGCTTGAGAGTCTCTCTCCCTCTACTCCTCCAGCCTGTGTGCTTTCTCTAAAAATAAATAAATATTAAAAAAAAAAAAAAGTTCCAGTTACGTGAGAGTTACCACCTATCTTGTATTCTGCTATATTATAAGTTCTTTCAGAATTGAAGTCATGAGCACTTTTGATCATTAGTGTCTGGCACACAGAATTCATAAACATCAGGCAAACAGGTGACCAAATATTAAAGAAAAACCTCAAAGACTTAGAACGTAATTATTTACTGACCTTTTATTAATTATGAATATATGCTATCAAAATCTAAAGTGATAAACACATTCTCTCTCCATATTCTAATACATATCTTTCAGATAAAAAGAAAAAATATCAAGAATGCAAACTTAAATATTATTTAAAAAACCTTACCTGACAAATTTTTTCCCAAATCTCATCGCAGCCAGCTTTTTCCTGAAAACTTAGAGCCAGATCATAGTTCTCAGCTTCCGACCAAACGATTAATGTATCCTGTTTAAAAATAAAGATTTTTACATCATCACACTAGAAAAGCTAGGAAAGAAATAACTACGAAGTGTAAGTAGAAATCAAGACGAGAGGAAACAGCATAGTGGTGACAAACGCCCTCTGATGTGTGCAATTAATGTATACTCAACTGACATCATGTAACTGTATTTTGTTATCCTTTGAAGCTTAGTAATATACTGGCAATGGAATTGTTTGGGTACTAAAATGACACTGAGAATTTTCTAAAACAAAAAAAAATATTACAACAGGGTAGCAGGCTCTGGCTCATGTTACTACGATAATGTCGACTGGAAAGTCCAGCCATTCTTGGCCAAGCAGTAATGTAGACAATTTTAATCCTCTACTGCCTCTCTCCTCTGAATCTGGAAAAGCCTTCAGTATATGGAGGAATTCAAAACAATGATGAAATGAAGATACTCTAGCTCTAAGCATTATCAACAGCACCTATTTTAGTTTGTAGAAAAAATAAGAACCCCAGGGTTTAGGTGTTTTTCTACTAATGTCCTTAATTGTATCCCTACCAAAAAGTCAGTTAAGCTTTTAGGAAAAAGTTGTCAACCCCTTTATTAAAAACTAGAGTTTGGGTTTAAATTAAAACATAGACACATCTAAACACAAAAATCATTATGCAACACTCAAATGAAATGGCCAATTTTTTAAGGATATATAACAATGAAAGTTTAACAGGGTTAAAACTTTTTCAGAAAATATAATTAAAAAAAAAAAGAAAATATACATGAGTTTATATCCTAATTACCAAGTATATAATCTACAAAAATACCTTATATATTAGTTAATAATTGTTCATCTAATACTTCTAAATATTATGACTTGATATTAAAAAATATAATACTAAAAGTGAGCCTCACATTAACAAAGTCTTCAAAATGAAAACACTTCAATACTTTGATAGCTCTAATCTGTAAATGAAAAATATCCTTCAATTAACCCAGGCCTCAGATTAATACTTATTTGCTGTTTAATCAGGTAAGAACAACACCTGGAAAGCTGTGTTCTCCCTTTCCTCTGGCTGTGCTCCTTGAAAGGAAAATTTGCCACCACGTATTCTAAATTTTATCAGGTCACTCCTTTCATTTAAAAACTTTCTGTGGGGCACCTGGGTGGCTCAGTCGGTTGGGCGTCTGCCTTTGGCTCATCTCATGATCTCAGGGTCCTGGGATCGAGCTCATCAGGCTACCTGCTCAGTAGGAAGCCTGCTTCTCCCTCTGCCTCTCCCCCCTGCTTGCTCTTTCTCTCTCTGGAATACATAAAAATCTTTAAAAAAAAAAGTCTACACTTCCACCTGTGTAACAAAGGAAAATACATTTCACCTTTAAATAAATAAATAAATAAATAAAATAAAAACTTTCCATGGCTCCCACCATATACACATACCAATGTGTTTTGAAATCTTTAAAAAAACCCAGAACTTTTTACAAACAAAATTTTACTCAGAATCTTCATGTTAAAAAAAAAAAAAAAGGGCACCTGGGTGGCTCAGTTGGTTAAGTGACTGCCTTCGGCTCAGGTCATGATCCTGGAGTCCCAGGATCGAGTCCCGCATCGGGCTCCCTGCTTGGCAGGGAGTCTGCTTCTCTCTCTGACCCTCCTCCCTCTCATGCTCTCTGTCTCTCATTCTCTCTCTTTCTCAAATAAATAAATAAAATCTTAAAAAAAAAAAAAAAAAAAGATAAAGACAGAGCTCCTCTGGTTAAAGGTCTAGGAAACACACTCAGGCTCATGTCCTTTACTCAACCCGAGTCAACTTCTTAGAGCTCTCCTTGAAACAGCTTCATAAACAGTGATCTCCAATACTCTATTTGTATGTCTCAAATTACTTATACATTATATTCAGGAATATAGTATTAGCACATCAATACTCTATAAAACACACACTAAAATAGAGATAAAAAGCCTTATATAAAGATAAAATAAGCAACATTTTAAAATATTTAAACTGTTATGGCTCCATACCATTATTGGTTAGCATTTTAAGACCCAATATATATTTAGGGCACAGTACATCCACAAATGAAAGTAGATACAAATCCATATTTAATGTCATCCTTTTAATAATCTGAATTTTGGGGGAGGAGCAACTTCTTGTGAGATCTATTTTTTTTTTTAAAGATTGTATTTATTTATTTGAGAGAGAGCGCACAAACAGGGGAGAGAGGCGGGGGAGAGGGAGAAGCAGGCTCCCCACCAACCAGGGAGCCCAACGTGGGGCTCGATCCCAGGACCCTGAAATCATGACCCAAGCTGAAGGCAGATGCCCAACCGACTGAGCCGCCCAGGCGCCCTTGTGAGATCTATTTTATCATTATTTCTGCATTATTACTTGGCTGACAGATTAACTGGGAGTATAAATGTCAGTTTTACCATTATCATGTTCATTTGCATTTACATTATTTTTTTTCAGGCCTTTTTATGGCATGCATTCATTTTGTTAGGGTTACAGGTCAGTTTAAATTGGAAAATATCTATAAATATTTATCTGCACATGCAGGCTACCGTAATTCACAGTAGTTAGGGAACACTTTTCATGTAAGTGTTACTCTTAGAATACCATGTCTGTGTGTTGTTGTTGTTGTTGTTGTTTTTACTTCTGACCACTTGCTTATTAAGTATTAGCAAAAGTCAATTTTTTCTTTTGATTAAATAGCTAAGCAGGTTTCTTCTCAAATCTCAGTGCTTTATACTGTGCATTCCAATTTAGAGATCACTAGTACAACAGGATGAAATCCAGAATACTTTATCCAGGCACCCAAGGCCCTTTCCAATTTGGTTCCAATCTATCTTCTGAGCAAAAGTCCAGGCAAGCAATGAAGTCTGACTTAAGGTAACTGAGTCCCCTTCTTCATCATTTTCTTGTTTGTTTCTTCTTGTTGTTTCTTCTTAATGTAAAGTCTTCTCCCTAAGCCAGGCAAAGCCCCAGAAACTAAATGGAATTTATATTTAGAATCCTTTTTCAATGTAAAGAGGATTGACCTTGGGTGATGGTTAAATATACAAATTCCCATGCTTCTCCCCTGGAGTGAAGCCCCCAAATCCTCATTTTTAACAAGGGTCTCAGATAATCCTTTTGAACACATCATCTAAGTCTATCTCTGGTTGGTTAACAGGATAGGAAACTGCCATCAGAGCAGGCACCTTCCAGCTCTATGAAATCTACTCAAAATGGGTTACAAATCCCATCCTTTTTTCCTCCCCTCCCTGGAAACCTACTATCTCAGTCAAAAAATAACCGTAAGAAGTACTTCTTGTAACTGCTTATTCCAAAGATCACAGTAAAAGCTCCTAGGTTAAGAGAGCACAAAACTTGCACAAGAATATTTAAAACAAAATAAAAAGTATCAAATGGCAGGGTTTCCTACATATCCCAAAGTCAAGCTCAGTTTTAGTAGTAATGTCCATTTTCAACTGCTGTGCTCTTTGTATTGTATTTTTTGCTCATTTGTGCGTGGCACACACATCTTTGGGACATTATTAATGCCTGTTTAAGAGAAGCTTAAGAGTTTTCCTCTACCAACTAAACATTTAATCACCACTATGTCTCCATGGAAATCAGATTTAAAATGAGCCTTCAGGGAGAATAGAAGAAGTCAGTTATATTTGCTCTGGTCCTTTAAAAAAATAAGAAAGGTGATTAAGTCTACTGCCAGGATGGAAGTTAAGACATGAGCTGGAGAGGCTTGACAATTTAGCTTTTACTGAATCAGATTTTCATAATGTAGTTTTATTATGAGAAATGGTCATTTCTGATCTTAAATATTAAAAATACATTCCTGAGGTGAATACTGTTTAAATCAAAGGTTCTTATTCAAGGTCTAAATCACACCTTAGAATTGTATCTAAAACTTGGTGCTTTTAACATCTTTTCTATGGAAAGGGTCTCTTCAGTTTTTACATCATACTCACAAAGGCACCTGTGACACATTTAAAATAGTCTAACAAACCAATGGATTATCAGTTTCAGTTTTCCTCTCCAGTACATTAACATGAATAAAGTCCACTCATGAAACAGCTGAGATCCTACTGCTTGTCAAATTAATCCTACCTTTGCCCCAATCGCTCTGACGAAATTCAATACAGAGCTGAAGTTTTTCAAAAGGAGTACTTATTTTTTTAAAAGGGAAAATAGAAATATCAGATTTGTAGACTTCAATTTACATATTCAAAATCAATACAGAAGTCTGAAAATGAGTGAGATTAACAGACATATTATGCAACATCTAGCTCTCCTAGTGGGTAGCTGACCTAAACTTTTTTTGAGATGGATTTTTAAAATATAGTATGGTATAACATATAGTCCAAGACAGACCTGATGATATTGCTAAAAACAATATTAATATCTTCCTAAAATCCACATATATTTGGATATAATGGGAATAACCTCAGACTAGAATTAGCACCACTCAGTTTCACTGTCCACTATTTCTGTGACTCAGCAAAGTATTTAACCTCTTTGATTTTTCTTTCCTCATTGTAAAAGAGGATTATGATGAAATTATGACTGTATTTCTCTTATTGAGCTTATGTGTCACATACCTCGCTAAAGCATTTTTCATACATTAATTCACAACTATTTCATGATGTAGGTAGTATCATCATTTAAAAGGTAAGACTTAGGGGTGCCTGGGTGTCTCAGTTGGTTAAGTGGCTGCCTTCAGCTCAGGTCATGATCCCAGGGTCCTGGGATTGAGCCCTGCATCGGGCTCCCTGCTCGGCGGGGAGTCTGCTTCTCCCTCACTCTCTCTGCCTGCCTCTCTGCCTACTTGTGCTATCTCTCTATCAAATAAATAAGTAAAATCTTTAAAAAAATAAATAAAATAAAAAAGTAAATAAAAGGTACGGTTCAGAGAAAATTAGCTCAGAAAATCTGAAATAATGAAATAAAAAAACTTGAGTATTCAGCTCTAAACCCACGTCCATGCTACTATGCCCCATAAAAAATGTAAACAATTCTAAAAGAACACAAAGTTCTCAATAACTTGCTTCCCAACCTCCTGCCCAGAGGCATTACATTTATCTAGGTATCTGTCTGGACCCCTATTTAAAAACCCTCTCCATCTGATTTCCAAGTATTCCTCCTTAGTCCCATTCCAAAAGATACCTCTTAGTCCCATTCTAGAACCACCACCCAGAACATACCTCTATCCATTACTGCCCAATCTTTCCAATATAATAATTCATGTCCTCCACTCCTGCTCCTGATCTATAGCTAGAGTAGACCCTACTCATTACAAACTCATGCTGTTATTTTAACTCAGCATTCAAAACTTTCACCTCTATCTTTATCTTGGCAAATGTTCTTCTAGCTAAAACCTAGAATAGTCTCAATCTTAACCTTTGAAGGGTATGAACAGCCATTCATTGACTGACCCTCCTTATCAAAATTCTGTTCTCCCTTGGTTTCAAGACAACATGTTTTCCTGATTCTCTACTCTTTCCAATTGCTTATTCTTCCTCTTGACTACATCTTCTTCCTGATTACCAAATACCTAACCCAGCAGCATGTCCTGTCAATTCTATCTTCTATATATATCTCAAATCCATCCACCTCTTTCTATCTCCACTGACATCACCCTAACCCGATTCAACATTATATCTTCTTGGATCATGTTGTGATCTTTCAGCTACTCTTTCAGTTATTGCCTCTCTTCAATTCCACACACTGATGTTACTAGTTTGGATCGTGTCATTCCTCTGCTGAAAATTTTCAAAAGCTTTCAACTGCACTTTAAAAATCTAAACCACAGGTGTGGAAGGGGTGAAAAAAATAAAAATCCAAACCAAAGACAACAGAACAGTATATAGTATGCTACCATTTATGACAATAAAAGGGAAAATGTATGTGACTGCGTACCTATTTGTTTACACATGCATAAAACCTCTAGGTAGGTATGTAATAAACTGGTAATAGTGGTGGCCTCTAGCAAGGGAAACTATGGAGTCCAGGGTGGGAGAGACTTCACCAAATACTTTCTGAATTTTTAAAGATGTGAATGTATTATCTATCCAAAATAAACAAAGAGGGTTTTTTGCTTTTTGGAATGAACAAGCCACTAGCCAAATGACCTGCTTTCTTGTCACTTTTCAGTTTCTAGAGAGAAATTGAAGAGAACCATCATTTTCCTGGCCCCAAGACTCAAAACACTACTAGTGACCTTTGATTCCTTCTCTTTCATATTTAATCATTCACCAAATCTTCAGCACTTTCTTGCTAATATACTGGAGCTCTATTTCTTTACAATTCCATTTACTACACTGGAACAGACTTTTATTTTCCTGCATCTGAATTATAGTAAAAGGTCTTGCTACCTAAAGCTCTTTATTTCCCTCTCCACCTCCAATTCATTATTCATGACATTGCCATACTTGCTTCCTAAACACAGTATCACTTTCATCATGTTAGGCCCCTCCTCAAGAATCTAGAATAGCTCCCTTTTGTTTAGTAAACCAAGCTCACAAACAAGAAACCTCTGCTGCCAAGAGCCTTAATAACTTTTGTGTCAGGTGTACTATTTCCTTCCCTATCACAATTCCTTCAACAGGCACCACCAGGGAGAGTGAAATTGATATAGATTTATATAAAGCTATTTTATTCCACAGACTTGGGAGAGTAGAAAATTAATCTCTTCCTTCTTTAATTTTCTACTCTCCCAAGTCTGTGGAATAAAATAGCTTTATATAAATTTTGTGTTGGCACATACCTGCTGTAAAATCTCAGTCAAGAAACTTGACCTTTCTGTGCCTTAACTGCCTCATCTGTGAAATGCTTTCATGGGCTTTCAATAAGGACTGGGTTAAAACCCTTTATCAGATATTTTATTACTGTTATGTAATTGTTTCACCTGTTAGGTCTTGTCTCCCAATAAAACAAAGGATGGGGACTTCCTTATATTTCTCTCCTAAACCCAATTAACACAAATTGTATTAAAACTGTATTGAATATAAAGAGTATACATCCCTATGACTCTGCTTTTGATTTAGTCCAGATCAGTAGGATGGATTCTAAATAACTTAAAATTTTGACATGTATCAGACACTATTTCATGTTCCACTATATCATCATTCTTTTCTCTTCCCAATGTGTTTAAATGCTTAACAAGTTTATTGGCTCCTTTAAGTTTATCTTCTTCCCATTAACAACTTCAGTACTGCCCACAGTACTGAAGCAAGAAAGTGTTGTGAATCAATGATGACCTATCAATATAGGGTCATTTGACATTCAACTCAACTCATTCTAACTTATTTTGAGTCCATAATTCAGAGCTTGGCTCATTTTTGAACTGTAATGTTAAAAAAGAATGCTAAATAGTCCGCTTTGAATTTATTCAGTGTATTTTGTAGCAAAATATCCTATAAACTATGAGTATCTCATTCACTCAAGTCTTTTTAAAATTAAAAACCCACTAATGATCAATATATTTCATATAAATTTTGGAAATGGCTATTTTATGGACTAATATATTGAATAAATTAAACAATGACATTTAAAAAAGTAATTCTAATGAACACAGAAAACTACCAATGTGTTTGGAAATCCCAATTTTTATAATCTGATAAAAAATGCAAATTGAACAAGATTATGGTGAAAAAAATGAAAAAACCATATCCATAACAAAGAAACTAAGTTTAACAGATTCCCTAAATTGCTCTTTGATTCTATTAGAAAAGTGCAATTTAAACAAATATAAAGAAAATAAAACAAGTGACCCCATTTACACAATTTTCAATCTTACATACAAAGCTTTTTCATATTATTCTCAGTGCCAAAGAGTTCTCTTCTAGTTTAATGTTATTTGGTAAAGGTATTTCAATTAGAAAAAATACTTAAAAATCCTAACAGTATATTATGAAACATGATTACAGAAAACATTTTTCCCAATAGCATAAAACTTTAAAAATAAGTACTTTTTTTCTCCAATACTTTAGTTTTCTATCAGAGTGATATTACACAGAAAGACATGTCCCAAGGTTTCTGATGAAACATCGTGTATTTCTGGACTAATGTTGGAGGGCTACTTTATATACAAACCTCCACCATATGTGATCTTTCCAATAGTAACAACAGTTAAAGAATCTTATACACAATCTGAGAAGAATCCATTGTAATTAATTTGTAGGGAGTCACATTTAAGAACACAGTTTCTGAGCATTTTATATTTAGGCAGATGGGGGAAAAAAAAAAGATTACAAAACAGTATTTCTTTCCCCACAAAAAAGGAGGCCAATGACAACAACAAAAAAAAACAAAAGTAGCTACCTGGTAAAATTCCATGCAAAGAGAGAATAAACCATCTGCTTAGCTGACTTAGAAATTAAATTTACTTAAATGTCTCAGGTATAGGAAACATTTTTCAAGTGTTCAATACAGGACAAATGTTTAAATTGATTCTCCATCAAAGATAAACAGTATTTTCTAAGCAGAAGGAAAAAAAACTATTAATTGAATACTGAAAATTTAAATACTTCAAAGAAATGATTAAAAATGTATTGCATACACAAAACAATTGTTTAACAGTAAGACTTTTACTAATAACGAGCTGTGCAACAGACATAATTTCATTCCCCCAATTGTGAAGTATTTATTTCTGGGTATCCAAATTTTCATTGACCTTGAAGAAAGTAGATATTGATGATGTAAATATAATCCTAATATAATTTATCTTTTCCTTCAAAAATCTCTGCCATATTCACTTTACACACCACACACACACACACACACACACGCACACGAAATAATCCCAATGTCTAACAATAGGTGTATATCATACAGAAGAATACTATACAGTTTTAAAAAAAACAACTAAATCTACATTGTTAACATCAACAAATCTTCCAGTTAACTGTTGGGTGAAAAATGAAAGTTCAGAGTACACGTAAGAGCATGAGATCAACCATGTAAAGTTTAAAAACACACAAAAGACTACATATTATTTATGGATACATACATATGCAGAAAAGGTATATAAGCATGTACAGAAGTAATACATCAACTTCAGAATAGTGGTTACCTATAGGGAGGATGGAGAATGGATAGAATGAGATGTGCACAAAGGGGGCTTTAACTCTATCCACAATGCTCAACATTACAAAGATTAGAAACAAATATGGTATAATGTTAACATCGTTAAATTTGGTGGTGTTACACAGACACACATATTTTCTGTACTTTTCAATTTTGAAATCTTTCATAATAAAAATGAAAACATTCACAGAAGAAAAGGTTGAATCACTGCTGCCATTTCCAGGTTAAGTAACTGGGCACACTGAAACACAACACAGGTTTTCTTTTCCCAAATAAGACAATAAATATTAACAGAAAACATTACATGATTGGCAAGGTACACTTTTTATAAAGTATCCACTGATTATATTAAAAATATACAACAATTAAAGAACAGGATTTAAATGCTTCTACTTCAAAAACTCTACCTTTGCTTTCAACAAAGGATCGAATTTCACACCACAAACAGGCTTTCCTTGCTTTAAAGAGTACCCCTTTGAATTTTCTTTTATGTCATTTCCTTTAAATGTGATTGAGAATAAAAGGCTTAGTATACAGAGTATAAGATATCTGGCTATCCGTAGTTAAGTAAGACTAATGAATACACTGTATTCTAACATAAACTAACAGTGGCTCAATTCAAAGATAATAAATTACTGCCAGTACAAAAACTTTCACTTTTTAGTTTGAAACTTTTGACCTACAGGAAAAAACATAGAATGTGTAACTCTGTTTACCAAACATGTTTTTTCTTGTGAGGAAAGCTTTCCCATGTTTGTCAGATTAATACTTCCTTGATCACAGATGAAGTCTTTCAAATTAAAGATAAACAACTACTTGCCTGTTGTTTCTGATATGCAGTGTTTGGATTTATCTTTGATTCCAAGAGTAGTGATCCTGAAAGATAAAAAATAATATTTATAAGTTTCAATTCGTAAAATTCTGAATAAAATATCTGAATATTACTTTAAAAAAACAAACTTGTTCTCCTTCCCTAGCTAGACATGTGAAGTAATCAAATGTATTCTGATTCACGTTTTTCTCTTCAGATCTGGGCTTCATACAGAACACACCATCTTATCCCCCATATACCCTTAAAGGAAAAAAATCCACCTAAGATCAACATTCAGACCCAAAATATAAGGAGACTAGATGTCTATTAAAGTTTTATTGAAATGAAAATTTTAAGATCTAAATGACTACTTGAAGCCAAGCTCTTTTTAACAAAGTTATTTTATTGCATTTCCAGTTTAACAAAACAGATTACAAAGGACCACAACAGGAATCTAAGTACTTAGTACACAAATTACAGAACTGCCTTTATCCTTTTCTCCCTAACATACTGAAGGACACTTCATATAGAAATAAATGCCCATAACTATTTAAAATAAAAGGGAAAGTGCAAGAGTACAAAATACAAGAATAAATCTAAGATTGTTATTTTTCTATTATCGGCACATAATTGCTCAAATCGAGGTGTTCAAATTACAGTGAGAAAGGTTTTAATTATGCTCTACATTTTATAATTTAAAAATTCTTCACACATGACTCGTACATTTACCAACGGATACAAGTTTACAATCTCTTCTGGTGTCCTAACTTGTTTAGGTTGTAAAGTACCCACTTTTTCATGGCAACCTCTACAAAGGCAGCCTGGGGGGATCCCAGACTATAGATATGCTTGTGCGTGCATGTATCGTGGCAACAGTCTGCAATAATCGCAGGAAAAGGTACCTTTTGGTTTTCCCCAGCACCTGTCGCCTGGGGCAAACCGGGCAGGTTAGTAAAATGGGTTTAAAAAAAAAAACAAACAACCCACTCAGTGAAGTTTCACTAAGCTTTTTGAAACAGACATATAATGGATAAGAAAACAAAAAATGAAGGGAGGGGGAGGGTCAGCTCCCTAGGACGAGAATAAAACTACTCTTGTCTCTCATTACTTCCTCCGTTCGCACTTCTCTCTCCATTTCAAAGGCGAGACTGGAGAGGAAGGGGTCAAATCCTTAATAGGCATAGGAGGCGGGGGAACAGAATCAACGTTTGACTGAGAGTAAAACCGGACAAAGTAGTTTGTTTTTACCGTACTGAAGTGCAGGCACAAAACCAAAGCGTTGTCCCAAGACGTGGTAGTAACAGTACCCGGCCCAGAGCCTAAACACCAGGGCTATGCCCAAACCGGAGGCACTGATTGTCCCCTATCCTATGTTCCAATAACCTTACCGTCGGACTCAGCCCGAACCAGCAGCGACATCCCCTTGAGCTCCTCCACATAAGTGGAGGAGACATGCCCGGTGCCTCGGTCGTCCCATTGACGGTCTTCGTTGAGGGTATAGACCTTCACTCGCCGCCGCGTATCCGACATGGTGGCTGCTGTCCCCACCGCCCCGGCCGCCGCCTCCTCGCTCACCTCGTCCGCGCCCCTCACTCTTGAGAGACGGTTGCGGCGGTGGCGGCAGCGGCGGCGGCGGCTCCGGAGAGGCCCGAGTTCACCATGGCTCCCAAGGTTCAGTCGCGGGAAGGGGCAACAAGAGTCACCGAGACCCCTCCGCCCAGAGTCCCGGTAACCTCTCACTTCACCCCCGCACACACCCACCCTCCCCTCCCTTTGCCCCCCAGAGCTCGCTCTCCCGCCGCCGCCGCCGCCGTAACTACTACAGATCCGCCATCTTGTAACCCGATTCTCTCTGCCTTTCTCTTCCTCCTCCAGCAGGCTCGCACGGGCTGTCCTAGCAGGGGCTACGGCGGCCGACGAGCCCAATGCGCGACGCCTCTGCGTTCCGCACGCGCTTCCCCAGCCGGCAGTGTTCGGTGTTCTCGCGAGGCGGGTACTGGACCTATGTGGGAGGGTCTAAGAGCGACTTCCTCTACTCTCGGTCCCGCCTGCTGGCGCGGGATCTCCGCGGGGTGGTCGGTTCTCGCGAGTTCCCTGTCCCGTCTGGTGCCGCGAGATTCCTTTCTGAGCCGGCAGCGAGAGGGGTCTTGGATTTTCCTTTGAGAGGTTGCTGGCTGCACCTGGGGTGTGACGAGCCGTGGGACCCAGCTCTGAGGAAAAAGTAAAGCATACCTGGGAGGTACGCATCCTTGGACGGGACTAACCTTGAGCAAAAAGGAAGGAAATGTGCTCGCACTCCTAATGGAAGCTGACTCTGTCAGCCTATGGGAGAAAAATAACTTAAAATTCTTGCCGTGAATACGTAGGAACTTTGAGCCCTGTAAGTTACGGGGACCCGAAACCCGCTAAAACTCGTTGTAGAATCTGTTAAACATCTCAGGAAGTGTTCTGTGGACCACCAGGCGATTATAATGTGGTACATTAGTGTGTTGACAAATTCCTATTTCCCGCCAAAGCGTTTCACTGTTAGGCATTTGGTAGCTGGCAATTGAAAAGCATACTTTCCACTTCAGGAAATGCAGTGCTCTTCCCGTGTTTGTAGCCTCGGAAAAGAAGTCTTCAGAGAAGTTAAGGGAAGTGGAGGGGACCTACCTGCCTAACGTATCTAAGAGCATTGTTTTGATATTTTTGAGTTTCTCTTACGAGCATTTTTTGCGTTATCTATCGGGAGGTGTTCTGCGCTGAATAAGCGAAGGAGGAATTCTCTGGACATTCACGTTGTCAAACATCATATTAATTGTCAAATGTTGCCCGGTGGATACCAGTCGTGTGCTGGGCAGTCGTTTATTTCAGTGCTCGTTCGTTCTTGATAGAATACTTTTCATTTTTAAAGACATTCTCAGCTTGTTCTGTCGTCAGTTCTTTCCACTCATTAGTCTGAAAGGTGAAAACAGACGCGACGCACGCGTTGACCCTGCAGCGCATCTTGGGGGTTGTAGTCATTACTTCTCAGGGGTTTCGTCAAAACGTGCTTTTGTTTTGACTAGATCGTATGTGTGCACAGCCTTCGGCGATGCACTAAAAACGTGAGACGTCTTACATAGAACAGGCGCCTGATAAAAAATAAATTATAATTTCAAAATCTGGATACATCGCATTTTTAAAAAATCTATAGAGGATCTCAGAAAATATTCTTGAATTAGGTAGTTATATGTAATAATAGAGCCCATTAATTGCCGTGATTGATGTGGACAAATGCATTTTGAGCCCAGAGAAAATAACCTTTCTGTCTTGGGTCAGAAAAAGCTTCACAGATTAAGTTTTGAACTGGTGTTAGAGGATCCCTAAGTGGGAGTTTGCACTTTGGCTTGGGAAGGTGTTCAAGGCTGAGGGGACAGGGTGAACAAAGTCAAATGTTGCTGCCCTCAAAGAACTTACAGGTAAGTTATATGTAACTTAAAGGAATGAAAACTATACAGAAGTCAGTTTAACACTATATGTGTTGAGGTTAATGTCCTACAAATAGAACTAACTCTGGACAAAATTGGGAAATAAGAGTTATTTCCTGCATTTACTCAATCATTCAAATATTGGTTGAGCATAAACTATGTGTTAGACACTGTTCTATACGGTGAATAAATAGAAAAGGTCCCTCTTCTCATGGAGCTTACATTCTAGTATAGGAAGACAATAAACAAACACATGCCTGATACTGATAAATATTAATACCAAAAAATAAAAGTAGCAAAAGGTTAGTGAGCTTGGGAAAGGTAATGGTGTCATTGAGGAAGGCCTCTGAGGCAGGCAGGCAGCCATACATTTCCCCAAGGGAAGAGAGCATGAGAAAACAGAAAAGCAAATACAAAGCCATGAGGCTGTAGTGAGAGGAATAATAAAGAAACCAGTGTCTTTAAACCTATATATAATGGAATACTATACGTATTGCTGTACACATGTACCCTAGTATATTTAAACCATCTCCTATTTATGTATATATGTGTCATTTCCAGTAGTTTCCAACCTAAAATAATAAATGATTTACCAAAATTACTTCATGTGTTCCAAATTACTTGATGTTAAGTTCCTAGAGTAGGGTTTTTCAGCATTAGCACCAGTAACATTTTGGGCTGGGTAATTCTTTGTTGTGAGAGATTGTTCTGTGCTAAACAAGATGTTTAGCAGCATCCCTTATTTTTACCCATCAGGTGCCAGTAGTATTGCACCCTCTCTTCCAGCTGTGACAGTTCAAACTATCTACCATCATTGCCAATGTCCCTGGAAGGCATGTTACATTTTTTAATTCTTGAGGGTTTAAAAAAATATCCTGTTAATCTCTATAGGGTAAACTGGGTTGTTGTTTCATTGACTCATACCCTTGAAATGTCACCCTTTCTGATAGATGTTTTTATGAAAATGCTTTTATGAAAGTTTTTTGCTATATTCACTCATTTTTTTTCCTTAAGGTGATTAAGTCTTCTTCATTTAAGTAAACCATCAAAACTGATAACCTGTATCCTCTTAGCCACATTCCTATTTCTTTTCTCCTTTACAACCAAACTATTTAAGGGTTGAAGTTGTTTATACTCCCTTCATTTCTTCACCTCCCACTTACTCCTCAATTGAACCCATTCTGGTTTCCGTCACACTGCCCGCCCCAGCACCTTGCTCTCATCATAAGGCTCTTTACAAACTAACTTAAGATATCTATGTTAATAATGCCAGTGGACATTTTTCAACTTGTCTTACTTGATCTAAGTTAAAATTGACACTTTTTTGTCTGATGTGACTCCAGTCATATCATGGCAATTCTTGCTTTATCCTTCAGATGTTGCCACAGTTATCGCTTTCATAAAGGACCCTTCTGACTCCCCTGTCTAGACAATATCCCCTTGGAATATTACAAGTACCAAAAAACCCAATTCAAAGTGGTTTAAATGATAAGATAATTTATTGGCTCATATGAAGGAAAATCGGGAGATAAAGAGGAACCTCGGGTAGATTTGATTGACTTGACAGTATCAGTGAGAACTTGATTTCCTTCTGCCTCTCAATTCTGTATTCTGCTCTGTCAAATTCATACTAAGGCTGACTCCTTTTGTATCTTAAGATAGTGGCCAAGAGCTCCCAAGGTTCCAGAGTCTGCATTCACAGCAAAAAAGAGTTTCTTCACGTATTCCCAGTTGCATTGTGATTAGACTAATATAGGTCCACATGCCTACACTTGAACCCAGAGATCTGAGGTCTAGGGAATGTCAAGCACTGATTGGCTGAGGCAAATCAGGGCCTGTCATTGGAGCCTGGGGTTAATCCCACCCAAATCCCACAGATATTACACCATGTGATACGGTAAAAGAAATGTAGGAAGACAACCAGAGTATCAGTTTTATCTTGTTACAGCACCATGCACCCTTCCATTACAATGGAAGCATTTGTCATACTTGTAGCTTTAGGTTTATTTGTTGATTTCTTTTTTTAAATTTTTACTTATTTTTATTTGTATGATTTCTGATTAATAACTGTCTCTACATCTAGGTGACAAATTTCTGTGAGTTCAGGGAACTGTTTTTTCTCACCATTTTATCTCTAGTGCCTAGCAGAGGATGTGGAACATAGCAGGTACTCAATAACTGTTGAAAGTTAGAAGTTTACTACTCAATTTGACATTCTCCCTAGCAAGTAATTTAATAACTACCTTATCAAATCAACTGAGATTAAATTACATCTTTGAAAGCTCCCGATTGGTATCTCTAGTTTCTATCTAACTAGTCAATTCTTGATACATTACTGAATGATAGTTTGAAACAAATTTGATCATATTATATTGTTTTTGCATCATTCAACAGTTTCTGATTTCTTGTAGGATAAAGTTCTTTAGAATGGCATACAAAGCTCTCCATGGTTTGGCCTCTTCCAAACTCTGGCTGGCTCTCTACTCTGAAGAGCAAGGCTATGGACTGTTGGGGTGATTTTCCCTGGGGGTGATTTTCTTTTTCAATCACAGCCCCTCCCATTCACCTTACCAAATGTTTTTAGAAGTCTTTTCTCTGGATGAGTGTAGTTTCTCCAGATATTCCCTCATACTCTGACAGAGTAAAGGCAGAGGAAGGAGGCAAGAGGTCCTTCATCTGTTTGGTATTTAAGCTTTCACTTAAGCACTCCTTTTGAACCTTTTTTCACAATTTCCCACTACTGTGACTAGTGTCTCCAAATCAAAGTCTCTCCTATAAAATAAATCTCAGTCTCCTGAGGTGGTGGTCGTGGCGGCAGTGTTCAAAGGGCTTGTATGGGTATGAGTGTGTGTGGAGGGAGATGGTAGTCCTTTGGTTATGTGGGATTGGGAAGGGGATCCAGTTGTGTAGTCCCTCTCTATATAGACTTTGACCCTGTCCTCATATTCTGAGCCCTGATCCTTTCTGATTTGGTGGAGAGATAATTAGTTCTCTTCTCTGATCACCTCTGTGGCCAGTTAGGTCGTAACTTCCTCTGTTCTGCTAAGGTCCGCTAGTGCTCTACCATCTGCTTGCCATGCAAATGACATTTGTTAAAATCTTTTGTCTGATATTGTCTCTTTTACTATGTTTGTCCTTTGGACTCTATACTTTAAAAAAATATTTAACTGTGATTAATTTTGCATTTTTGACAAAGGTATTCTAACATGTTTTTATGTTTTTTTAATGTTTAGTTCTATATTTCCCTTGGATTTTTTTTGTATATGTGAAGTAAGTGCCAATTTAAAATGTTTCCTCCAAATGGAGAGCCACTTGTAATATCATTTATATATGAAATAATTTGAAATGCTATTTTAGTCATAGTCTTTAGTAAATCTACAGACACATATACATACACGTGTGTGGATTTGAGTCTAAACTCACTACTCTGTTTTCATTGTTTTAGTTGGTCAACTGTAGTATGACAGTTTTAATTGCTATAGTTTTATTATTTGTTTTGGTATTTGGTTGATGTGGTGGCCATATCAGTGCACCATTTAGATCTCCTTCAAGAGAACCTACTCTGGGGAACATACTTGACTGATAGCCAGCTGCTACCCCTTTGGATCCACCATTGCATTTGCGCTGAAGTCATAAAGACCTCAAGCTGCTCCCAGCCATTAACTGAGCATAGCACTGGTACTATACTTATCTTTTACTATCTAGTGCAGAACTCCTTCAATGGGCAACATTGGGTTGGGGAACTTCGTAGCAGTCTGGATGAGACTTTCTTGGAACTACACTGTAGTTT